TGGCAAAAGCGGGCAAACTTTCGGAGAGCGAGGACTACTCGGAAAGGTTTATTATCTGAACCTCTCCGAGTAGTCGTCGCTCTCTGACAGTTCGCCCGTTTTACTGGCGGCGAAGCATGCAAACAACGGAAATATGGATAGGTGGGATGGACAAATGAAGGGTTTGGCGTTAGTGTGCCAATCAAAGCACGGTTTGGCTGTAGTGCGCTTGGCTGTAGTGCGCCGATCAAAGGAAAAAGGGGTGCGTACAGGTACCGTGCGAGGCGCATTAAGGGGGGGGGAGATTTCGGGGTGGCTAGTTGAGCTTTGGTAAAATACTCATTAGGTACTCTTCCGTGGACATGTAACGAGGTTAGTCATGTAGCTGTAGGCAACAAACCAAATGGCACGAACGGAAAGAAAGTAATAAATAGGAATATCACCACATGGACACGCTCCCACGCGCTGCGCCGTCGGCCAGCAGCGCTTTAGACTCATATCAGTGTAGGTTACGACGAAACCCGTCATGTGTTATAAACCAGACGTGCCGCAACAGTAATGGGCCCCACCTAGAACGAAATGAAGATGTCACTCACATACTCGTATCTCAGTTATGATACAAACCACACTCGCAGCTGCATTTGGTTAACGTTTTAATTGACTACGATGTTTGCAGATAATTTTAAGCATCCACATCGATCGCATGTAAATATGGCCCATATTTTAGCTTTGCGTTCTGTCAGAACCGATCTTCCAATCATAAGACTGTAGCACATCAGTCTCACAAAGGAGTTCATCACCTTATTTTTATGTACTACGGTGGAGAAAAACAAATGGACGCGAATTGAAACAAGTACATATATGCTGGCGAATGAACAGAAGGAGATTACCGGTGCAGGTTGTTGTTTCACAAATTTTGAGCTGTTGGAGAGGAATATTGTCCTTCATGCTGTCTACCGACGGCACATTAAAACTAGGCCACATCCGGAAAAACTGCTCTTGATATTTTGAGGCCTTGACTGGCTTCAGAATATCAATAGCAATTTAGGGACATGGCCTAAGTCACTAAGTCAAAGTGCAAATGTTGTGAGTTGATGTTGTCCAGTAGCTTTATCGAGCCGAGTCATCTCCTGCGTCGAGAGGTAATGGATATCGATCATTTCTACGGCCACTGGGTAGTACCCGTGATAGAGCGAAACACCAAGTTTCCATATCCTGGAGACGGATATGATATATAATCTCCAACACGCAGCGCTTACTCCCAAACTCGGCGATAAACTTCTTCACGGTCGGTAACTGATGTGCTTTCATGCAGCTATTTTATAGTTTGTGTAACTGGTAGCCTACGGCAGCCGTGATGGGGCCGCCTTTTGCTGTTTATCTGTCGATTGAAGCTGAATGCGTGCCTGTTCAAGTATATAAGATATTTTCGCCTCTAGCAACCCACTGCAGTACTACTGTCTAGTAAGAAAATCGGTCTCGGTCGACACGCAGTATCAGGACCTTTCGGCAGAATGCTATTTTTAAAACCCAATCTTTGTTTTTCCGCACTTATCCATCGTTGTATCAAAACGTAGCGTTGCGTATAGCACAGTACGCTTGAATAACAAGATATTTGTGGACCTCGTTTCCTAGTAGCTATGCACCTGGTCTCACGATAAATGGAATATATGCATGGAATAATACGATTTCCACGCAGCTATACGCTGTGCAGTGAT